TTTTATGCCACTACGTTTTGGGGTGTTATGCAGGAATAGATAACTAAAATGCCTGTGTTAGATCTCCTGGTTTAATTCTTGCTGGGATGAAGAAAACACCAATATACATAATAGACTTTATTTTAGGAGATTTGTACTTAAAGGCAGAGGTTTAAAAAATTCTCATTATATAGCATTTCACGTTGTGTTTATATATTTTTCAAATAAAAGGCTAACAAATTTTTTCAAAATTATCGGTGAAATTGGACAATGGCCTAGTCTTAACCTCACAAATTAAGTGTATGTTTCACAGATTTATCTTCTTCTGGAAATGCTTATGCATTTGATAGCTCAGTAGCCCTGATGGCAGCCTCACCTGTTCAAGGTGGCACAGGAGAGCTCCTTGGCACACAGTTCCTCGTAGTTATACTTGGCAGTGTTCTGGTTGTAGTCTCCAAACTTGGTCTGGGCCAGGAGAGCACTGAGCTCCACTGCCTGCTCTGGGGAGCACAGGAGGTGGCCTGCCAAGAGGGCCTCCTTGATGTGCAAGAAAAAGATATGCCTGCAAAGCAAGGTGAGAGTGAGCTTATGCTTGGGGATAACCTGACATCAAACTCAACCTACTTAGCAATTTCACAGTCACTTTTAAGGAGAGTAATTTTAAAAGTCACACTGAAAATGCTTAATAATAAAGAACTCTTTTAAAAAATCATCAGTATTAAGACAAAATCAAAGTAAAAGAATTAAGTTTCTCTGAAATAAAAGTTGTGACCCACACAAAATAAACTTACTTAAGACAAGTTTTGTAACATTAAGGCTATAAAACATAAAATAATTAAATAATTATACATAAGCTTCTGCATTATAATTTTTTTTTTGAGACAGGGTCTCACTTTGTCACCCAGGCTGGAGCTCAGCTCACTGCAAACTCTGCCTCCCAGATTCAAGAGATTCTCCTGCCTCAGCCTCCTGAGTAGCTGGGATTACAGGCACGTGCCACCACGCCCGACTAATCTTTGTATTTTTAGTAGAGACGGGGTCTCACTGTGTTGGTCAGGGTGGTCTCCAACTCCTGACCTTGTGATCCACTCGCCCCGGCCTCCCAGAGTGCTGAGATTACAGGAGTGAGCCACAATGCCTGGCCTTACAATGTTTTAAAAGAAATTATTTTAATCAGAAAAATTGTATCTTGACATGGATTCTGATAGAATCTTAAGGAACTCTCTATATAAAGACAAAATTCTCATCTTTATTTAAATGATATCCCAATTTCTAGTCTCAGTGTCAGCTTTTCTCTTAAGAATCACATGAAAAATGTCCAATCTCCTATAGGCTTTACCACCTGGATGTTCTTCAGTACCTCAGTTTTGGCTCATTTGAAACCAAACTCCATATATTCTTCCCCAAGCCCTTTTTCTCCCAATGGAGACTACAGACTGACTTTTGACTCTGTCCTATTTCACTTGACTTTCTTGTCTCTGAAAACTATTTAAATCCAGTTCTGTCCTCCCATTTGTACCTTCTCAACACTACTTGAAGCAAGAATGTACACTATTCTCTGAGCTGCTCTCCTCCTCCAGACTCCATGCCAGCAGTCTACCTTCCATGCTGCTTGCTTCTAGCATAAACTTGTCATTTCTCTGCTCAAAATCCTTCAAGGGATCTATATGGCTTGCCAAGGGAGCACATTGTTAGCATGGATCAGAGGAGTCTCTACCATCTGCCTCCAGCTTTCCAGCCATATCTCCTGTCATTCCCTGCAGCTGCTATGCACCAGGAGAGGGAAGGATTCCTCTCTCTGGAAAATCCAGGAAGCAGGTTCATGCCCCAGTGTCTCTGGTCTTGCTGCTCCCTCTGTCCTGATGGCCATTCTTTCTGTCCGCTTGCTTGGATACCCTTTGGTCTATATCACATGCAAATCCTCTATTCCTCTACTACAGCATTTGACATAACATGCATATTATATATGACTTATTAAGTGCCCCAAACATCAGAGAGCTCCAAAAATGTACATAAAACTGCATACAGTCTGTGATTAGTGTACATTCCAATCTTAGTTGCAACCTGTTTGAGCCTGTTCTAGTTGTATACAATACTATATTCTACATTTACTGAAAGGTATGTTACACTTAAAAACTGTAAAATTCAGACAGTCACACTGCCCAAAACTCTGAAGAGCATCTGAACCTGTGCACAGATTGGCCTCAGTTTTAACATGTGTGTCTGGTGAATGTGAAGTTTTAACCTTCCTTTGATGACTTGTGATAACCTCTCAAACATGCTTAATTGCCACAATATTCCTCCCATTAACAAATGAGTTATAACTTTAGCCAGGTGCGATGTCCTCAACACTGCTTCTGTTTAATAATATATCTGTGTCTGACATTCCAGGTAGAGGAACATAAACAAGGTAAGAATCGGCTAAGGAGGAGACAGTGAGGCTATAAATCTAAGGAGGTGCTATACTGAGTCTAAAATGTCCGGCTGACGAGAGTCATTAATCTTATTTTTCACTAAGAAGTGTTTAAATTCAATGTTTTGTGCATTCTATAATGATAAAGAAATATTTAAAACGATGAAGCTCTGCCAAATACTGCAGTTTTTTCTTTTTTCAAAGCCCCTGTGAAGAAACCACAGTACGGATGTGTAATAGCCTGAAAGAAGATAAACATGGTTTTTATTAACCCAAATGTCTGCTAATCTTTAAAGTATTTCTGACATACTGCTAACCTGAGAAGGGAGCCCCCACTGGGGCAAAGAAATCACCATGAAAATAATTTGCTGTAGAATAGCTACCTGAGGACCGTGATCTAGCCTTCTCGGCAAGCCACCGTGTTACCGCACTGCTGCAGGCCTCAAAAGGCTTCTTAGATGACCATTTGATAAACTTCATCTCGGTGAAGGTAGCCATCTCTGTATTCAACCGGGGTGAGGACGTACTGTTAGGAAACTAAAATCTGCATCTCTGCTTACATTAAAGAAATTATGTTCTGAAAGACTTTAAGAATATTGCCACAACAAAGTGAGTGTTCTTAGTTTAATTACTGCTTATGTAAAAGTGGCTTTTAACTTATTTTCCAAGTCTAAAGTTAGAGACTAGTTCCTGCTTTATTAAAGAGTAAGTGTAGCCTACAAAAGAAGAGTTTTGAATCAATTCCATATCTTTTTCCACCCTACCCATGCCTATACTTCTGGAGAGACAGTGGCCAAAATCAAAGGCAAAGAAGCAGTAACAAAATGTAAGCAGGTGGCAGACAGCCTGAGAGTACCACTGATCCTTCTCAGCATATGGGCCAGAATTTAAGAAAAGGTCGGGCAAGGGGGCTGATTGACCTTTTCGACATACTCCATATTCTAGCCTGGACTGCAGAGGATGCCTGGTAAGCATGAATAATCCTTCTCTTTACTGTCAACATCAGTTTTCTGATAGGCCCTTCCTGCACTGTGCAGTTTCATGGCTATAAAGCAATCTTTTCATTTCAAGTCAATAAATATTTGTCTTGCATTGCTTCTGTGCCCAGCCCTAAGCTGGGGTTATAGGGTAAACATGTCTGAGAGATCCTTTTTAGATGGACATACAGCCTTTTAGAACAAAGAAACATATCCAATCAAAGTAACTCCAGCCACAATGTAGCTGACAAGTTTATGCTCTTCAGGAGAACAGTACAATGGAGCACTGGTAGCAAAGGTCAGCACTCTAATAGGTTCTTTCCAAGACAGAGGACAGCAGAGCTCTGAGACACGTTTCCAACAAGAGCTTCAATGATGGCTCAATATTTGTGTGTGGTTTTGAATCAAGTATTTTCTCCTCTAACCACCTGGATTATAACTATCTGGCTCCTGGGTTTTGCCTCTCCCTTTTTTTGTAAAGTAGGTGAAAGGTTACCAATAATATCAAAAGAAGCAGATGCAGTCAGAGAAGTCACGCCTGCTGTGAATTCTTTTGCGCTAAAGATCAATTCATTATAGGCTACATTCTAGAATCATGAATTGAAAGAAAGTCTTTGGAAAAACACAATTTTCTTTGTCATAAGCAAATGTCCATGAATATGTTCTATGGGCATAAATAAGCTCAAACTGCACCTTTTAAACATTCTTTAGGTTACACCTTCTAATTCGTGATTCTTCTTTGTTACCCAGCTACTAAGAAAACTGATGTTTTCAATACATGGACCACATTTGGGGGCCCAAGATGTAACATTCTGGCTAACTCATGTCCTAGCATTATGGGCACAAATGAATTCCCGCTTACTCAGCATTATGGAAGATTTTTTTAAAAAATAAAGTGAATATAAGGATATGCCAAATTTTAATTTTTAAAATGAATCATATATTCTTAGTATATTCTTTTCTTTCAAAGTACTTCAAATTTTTTCTCTTTTAAAAATTAATTCCTTCTTATAGTGTTAAGGAATGAAGTTAGATCATTTATCTTTTAAGAGTTGTAATCAGAGAACTTTCCTCTCAGCACCGGCTTGTCTCATAAAGCAACCATCTGGGAATCAAAGCAGAACTTTCTGCAAACCCATTGGAAGTTGTTGATCTGCCCATCACAGAGGGTTCCTCTCAGTTACTGCCCTCCAGTGACCTCACCAGTTATACCATTTTGAAGAGCTTTTAATGACAAATGTAAAATAAGTATATCGAGATCCATTACTAAACTCAAAATTTAAGAACCTCATCTTTAAAACAGCTAAGTAGCTATTTTTTCAAAGTCTCAGTAACCGATAATTGAACTGTATTTCTCCTGGAAAGTCGTGACTGACTCTGGCCATAGTAAGTAATGGCTGGCTCCGCTCTCACATTGTCAGACCCCACTGTGATCATCAGTAAGCCCGCTTCAGTCCAAGGAGTCACTTAACCACAGTTTATTTTAAATCAAACTTTGACTGCAAAGTTATATTTAAAAACTATCAAATCAAAACAGGATTGCTATGAGAGTTTTCTGTTTTGTATCTTTAATTCCAGTAAAACAAAAATCAGTTCAAGATGGATCATGGGGCTAAATGTAAAAGCTTCCAGGTTTCAAAGCGTTCTCAGGACACAGCAATAACCACAAAAGAAGAAAATGGATAAATGAGGCTTCACCAAAATTAAAAACTTCTACTCATAAGAGGCATCAGAAAAACAGGTAAGCCACCAGAGGGAATATATTTACAAAACATATATCTGACAAAGGACTGGTATCTAAGGTGTATAAAGAATTTGTACAACTCAAAAATAAAGGCAAATAACAAAAATGAGTAAATGACTTGAATAGCTACTTTGAAAAAGATACATGTAAGGCCAATAAACACATGAACAGGTGTTTAACATTATTAACTGTCAGAGAAATGCAAATTAAAACCACAACATTTGACCACTACACACCCACCAGAAAGTTGGCAGGGATGTGGAGGAACTAGCTTCTTACATTCTTGCTGGGAGTATGGACTAGCACAATTGCCAAACAGCTTTGGGAAAAGGTCTGGCAGTTAATTATAAAATGAAATAATTGCTTACTCTATGACCCAGCTATTCCATTCTTAGATATTTATTTATTCAAGAGAAATGAAAACATGTTTCTACCAAAAACAAGGTAGCTTTATGGCAGCTTTATTCATAATAGCTGGAAAACAGGTGTTCATTAATAGGAGAATGGCTGAACAAACACTGGAGTCATTCAATGGACTACTATCCAGCAATATAAAAGAACCAACCACTGGCACATACGACAATATGGATGGATCTCAGACATCTGTGATGAACAAAAGAAGCCAGACATCAAAGAGTGCATACTACAAGATTCCATACAGGTAAAGTTGAACAGGCATAGCTAATCTCTGGTGGAAGAACACAGGACAGAGGTATGGCGTGCGGTGGGCAGGGGTGTGGGAGAAGGGGAGGGGTTGACTGCAGAAGGGCTTGAGGGAACTTTCTGGAGTGATGATCCTGTTTTAAATTTTGATAGTGCTTTTATTTAAACAAGCACAGCCATTTGTCAAAAATGATTAAATGGTATAATTAGGATTTATGTAAATTTTACATCAAAAGAAAAAACTGAAAACATCAAGTTTTAGTTAATGTTATGCGTGCTGAAGTATTTAGAGGGGAAACATACTTATATACAACTTATTTTGAAATGCATCTAAAAACTAAGACTGATTGATGGGTGGGTAGAGGACTGATAAATGAATGAATATGTAATAAAGCAAGTAAACTATTAATAGAATTTAGTATCTATAGTATATATTTAGTATATATACTATAGAGCATATAGTATACACTAGTAGAATATATAGTGTGTGTGTGTATATAGTATGTATATATAGTGCGTATGTGTATATAATATATATATATATGTTCCCTGTAAAAATCTCCAATTTTCCTGTCTGTTTGAAAATCTTCATAAGAAGTTAAGGAAGTAATACTACTAAAAATACCTTAGGGTCAAGGATTCAAATAACTAGCCATATCTAACATGAACTACCACATTTATCTCCTTCATGGACGGCTTGCACTGAGAAACTTGTCACAGCCAAATAATGACCAAGTTAGGCCTCTATGTAGGCTTAAGGAGATCCTTTTCAAAGCCCAAAGTACAAAATGCGAATCACTGATGAAAGTGCTCCTAGTGCTCTAAAGCAGTTAAAAGATGTGGAGGGCGGCAGCTGCTCAAAAGCGATCACGACCCACACCAGAAGAACACTACTAATTGAAAGCAGAAAATCTGCACTTCTAAAAAATGTGCTTATTCACTCACAGTAGATACCCATCCTAGGCAAACACCAATCTAGGCAGTCCCAAAATCTAAAAGTGTTAACTACAATCTCTTTCTTTACAATCTAGATTAGCCAGGAGTGCTTTTTGATACATTTATTCCAGGAGGCAGGGAATTTTCAGACCTCATCATCTTTTTTTTTTTTTTCCAAGACAATCTGGCTCTGTTGCCAGGTGCCAGGTTGGAGTGCAGTGGCGCGATCTCGGCTCACTGCAACCTCTGCCTCCCGAGTTCAAGCAATTCTCCTTTTTCAGCCTCCCGAGCAGCTGGGACTATAGGTGTGCCCCACCACACCCGGCTAATTTTTGTATTTTAGTAGAGTAAAATATTTTCACCATGTTGGCCAGGATGGTCTCGATCTCTTGACCTCGTGATCCGCATTCCTTGGCCTCCCAAAGTGCTGGGATTACAGGCATTAGCCACTATGCCAGGCCCTCATCACCTTTTTAACTGTCTTCACATCCTGAGTTACTTGCTAGGTCCTGAGGCTGATACAGAAGAGGGCTGGGAGCAGGTCATACTGGGACACCATTCAGAGGAAATACACCCAGTGTCCCTGCAGCTGCTCAACACTGGTCACCCTGAGTCTGACCCTAGGTGCCTTCTAAATGCTCACATTTAATTTTAAATGACATTTAAAAAACCTTCTTTGAATATTTCATACAAATACATAAATACCAGAAATTCCAAAAGGGCACGAAGGTACCCAGACAGGCATTCCTTGGCTGAAATAAATACACGTAATAACACAAACATCCTATAGCCTTAGCAAAATAAAAATTTAAATCAGAAATTCAAAATTCAGTTAGTACTTTCTTTGGAAATAACTACATTCCTGCTTTTAACTTTTTTCTTTACAAGGCCTATTTTGTGTTTGGGCATGCAAATACACACACACACACACACACACACACACACACACACTTATATACACACACATATATATTATATACACACATATACATATACACAATACATACATACATATATATACACAATACATACACACATATATAATTATATATATATATATATTTCTACTCTCAGGCATATGGTTGATATGATGAACATAAATGACACTTTTATAATAGATCGCTACTACTGCAACAGCACCAGACAGAACTTAGCCACTCTGCATCACACAAAGGTAAATTATGTAAGAAATCTTTACTAACACTGACAGTTTTGAAAGACTTTGGACATGATCTACAGGTATTGCTAGCACCAGTGTGACCGAGTACTGAATTGGTTTGGAATTACCATTTGCCTATGGTTTGCATGTGGCATTTGCTTTGTGATTTTCAATGATGCTATCTTTCCTAGATTTCCACATGTCTAAAAGAGATTTTTGTTGGAAGACAGGGAAATAGCTTGTTAATATGTACTTTGGACTATAAATGGGTTGCAGTTAAAGTGATGCTGTAACTTGAAAACTACCTGGCCTTCATAGAAGACTCAGATAAGCAGTAGTTTCTTTTAGGGAAGAACTAGTAGCTACAATAAACACACGGTCTGGGATGGGGTAGAGAGGGTGAAAGAAAGGAAGCAAAAGAATGTGAAGAAGCTCTAAGTTAAGTTCAAACAGAAAATAGTCACTTCAAAACATTTAGTGGTGAGGTTTCTTTTAGATACTCTCAGCTTTTCAGTTTGTAGAAGCAAAGTGAAAAATACCTCAATATCTATTAAGAAAACTTCTATTAGTAGTATCAGTCAACCCCATTTTTGTTTACTTCCAAGTTGTTAATTTTATGATTCAATAATATGCAACAGACACTTATCAGACTCTGGGGATACAATGTTGATCAGCTCCCTGTTTAATAGAGTTTAGGTTATTAGAGTGACTGATAATTAATTGTCACATAAGTATAAGTAGTATTATAAGCTCATTCAATGCTATAAAGGAAAGATGCATGATTTCTTGGGAGAGTTTAGTCTCTTGGACAGAGCTCTTGGACTGGGGTTGTTTCCTGGGAAAGAGAATCCATGTGTTGGTGAGCCTTACCTAGGCAAAGCATCTCCTAGCAAAGACTACAGAACTCTGCTAAATCATGGCGATGTCAGGAAAAATACAGATTTTATTGGCAGTGGTTTGTATAACTACCATTGTGAAGATGAAGCATATATTTCTCTAATCTCTGCTTTGGGAAATGATGACAAAATCCAGTTGGAATTGCAGTTAACTCAAAGCCTTTGAAAGGCACGAATTTCCAAGATGATTATTATTTCCGATCTGCTTCCAGAATACATTAATTTGTTTCACTATTCATTTTAATCCATAGCATGGCAAACATCTGCTGAAAATACCTGCCGTCTCCATCTCTGAAATATGCCAGCTGAAAAGTAAAAGACTCTCCTTTTCCATTTGAGGTTCACATTCAGGAGCAAAGCATAATCTGGATAGAAAAACCAAATCTAAAACTAGGCCACATCAGAGTTCTACCTACTGATCTAAGCAGACACAACGTGTTTTTTCTGTTTTCAGAGACATATATTTAGGAAAACATTAAGGAAAATAATATAAAGAGGACACAAAAGCAATGAAAAAAGTTACTGCTAGGAGAAATTTAGAAACCATCTCTTCAGGGGCTTTCAAGTAGGAGGTAGAGCTGGGCCCATGGCAGTGCGAAGGGCTGGTAGTTGGTGGCAGAGCTGGAACTACAATACGGGGCATCTGCCTGGTTCCCTGGGGCTGTCCTATGACACACAGGTCTTCCTGCCTATCATCATTCTCTCAAGGGTCCCCCAGTCTGATATGAGCTCATATGTTAACTGCCCTCCCCAACTTGGCTACCTTAATTATCCCCAGAGGACAACTCTGCCAGGATATTTCAGCACTGCTTAATAAACTGTCTAGACGCTTTCTGTATACTGCATGCACCCTCATGATTCAGAAAAGAGTAAAAAAAAAATCACCTCTCATAACTCGATAGTCAAAGCTAAATTTACTCACTACATAGATCTATTGTATATTCATGGCACTTTATATAAGTATTTTACAAAAAATAATTAAACATCAAAGAAGTTTATGAACCAGCTTTATTTACTAGCATTTATAAACATAAGCGTTTTTATTCTATAGTTTCATGCATGTAAAAACAATGCTAATTGTAAATGAGACCCAGTACAGCTTCTGATGTCCTAAAAGGTACAAATGCTAATTACAAATCACTTTATCTAGTTATGAAAACTTAAGTGCAGTTATGTATTTCAGCCAACCCCACAAAACCAAGTAAAATTCACCAATATATTAAAAGTAGTTAAAAGTGAAGGCCACACTGACTTTTCAATACAACTTCAAAAAGGAATTAAAATTACCTAGTTGAACTAGGTATGTACATTCTTTGAGTACTATTATGAATCTCGAGAGTCCAAGTCAATTGAGTCAATAAAGGAGAAACTAAGACAGGAAATTTGATTCGAGTTCTAATTCATAAAATGTCTCTATTTCTTGCATGAATAAAATTGACTTGATTATAGCTACTAACCCAATTACAGGAAAGCACAGGTAGACGTCATCTACTAGTAAATCATAAAGTCTGAATACACTGGGCACTGTGGCTCACACCTATAATCCCAGCACTTTGGGAGGCTGAAGTGGGTAGTCACAAGGTCAAGAGTTTGAGACCAGCCTGGCCAATATGGTGAAACCCTATCTCTACTTACAAAAATTAGTCAGGCGTGGTGGCGGGCACCTGAAATCCCCGCTACTCGGGGGGCTGAGGCAGGAGAATTGCTTGAACCTGGGAGGTAGAGGTTGCAGTGAGCAGAGACTGTGCCACTACATTCCAGTCTGGGTGACAGAGCAAGACTCTGTCTCAAAAAAAAAAAAAAAAGTCTGAATATATTCATAAACTAAATGTATTATGCTATTTTCATTGCAGCCATTGTTTAAATGCAGTTATTTGGTACTCCAAGCTTCTGAAGATTTAAAAAATAAGTCTGTGCCATCAAAACTGGGGTGCATCTAGAGGCCTTGAAATAATTACAAAATCATAATAGGACTACACAATGAAAATTCCAACATGTTGGGTTATATCTTTTCTTGTACTTGACTGCAAGTTATGACAGTAAAGCGAAAAGCTTTCACAAATCAACTTTAAATAATAATTTTAAAAGGCCTATTCTGATTAATACAGACAGCTAAAACATCCTTAAGCAGGCAATCACTTGAATATTTTGCAAGATATTTTCAGGGGCACCAAGAATTCCATGAATCTGTCTCAACCTTTAAACCTCGATTACAAGGCAAAGTGGAGGTTTCAAATTCAAATGAATAGTATTTCAAAATGAGTTTCTATCAGTTCTTTGGTAAAACAAACAAGCAAATGTCATATAAAAAACTCTTAAAGAATAATGCTCATTCATCATTGCCTAAACTTTTTAGAATCACATTTTTCACATGCATGGCAAATTTCTAAGCCAAAGAATTACGAAAAACATTAAAACTTAGATCCAAAGTCGGCTATGTCTTTAAAGTAGGTGTTTTCCTTTTTAATTTTTTGCTATACCACTATAAGATCGAAGTCTCTTGCCTTTCAGCAATAAATATTCAGTTTCCTAGTTTGGCTCATTCTTGAGAAAAGTATTAGAGTCAGTCCAGGGGAGAACATATTTTGTTTGAAAAATGAGACCACATGCTTCAGCTGTCTACCACTGCCAGTGGTGTTTTACAATGTAGAGAGAGAAATTCAGTCTAAACTCACCAATCGTGTGTGATATGTCTGTGGGATGGAATTCAGTTACAGCAGCCTTAGAAGAGTTCATGAAATTACATTTTCAAGAAACTTAAAAAATTCTGCCTGAAGTCAGACAGAGCTGTCTGCTGCACACTGTAATCTGACACTAGGCTGAAGAAACTGACCAAGTTTAAGTAACCCAAGAGGAACTGTTTCCTGCTTTCTGTTAGAACAGTCTACAATGACCTATAGTAACACAGCTGAGGCAGAGGTTACTATCGGGCACTAGATGCTGCTATCAGGAAATCAGTCTGGTCGATGGTTTTTCTTTCTTTCTTTTTTTCTCGGGTAGCACTTATCTTAAGCGTTTGTAAGAATTCAACCCTGCTCACGCATCAAGTTTATAAAGACAAGAAAAACTAAAAGAAAGACTGGAAAATCCACTCAGGCCAAGTAGGTAGCTCCCTCTTCACCTCAACAAAAGGACTGCCGTGGAAAATGTGTTAAGATGGAACTCTGTATGAAAACAAACTTGCCTGTGAGTATCTCTGGGAAGATGCAGCGGCCCTTCTAAAGGGAACCAAAGGTCTATTTGACACTGGTTTATTTTAGCTCACTTTACCTAGTCTGCTCCTGTAAGATGAGATGAGGCTCCACGAAGAACTTGACTCTCAGTTTAAGCCGGTAAGGGGCTAGCCCATCCATCTGCTGGGAGATCCGGTTTCTCAGGTTTAGCCATAAACTTTCACCTTTGCTACCCGTAAACTGCAGTCCAAAATAATCAACTTCTATGATTCCCAATCGCCTGCACACCTAAAACAAAAAGGAATGCAGCCTGGATGAGCAAATGGTACATGTCAAAGCAAATCAACGGCTCCCTGAGACTGAGATTGCTGGCACTTTTCACAAAGTTCGACGGTGTTATAATTCCTGATCTAAACTGGAAAAACCAAGTTCTACGGCTCCAACGATATCAAACCGCGAGCTGTAATACGGAGACTCGGAATTCCCTTTAACATCCAGGGCATGACCAATTGCAATAGAGAAAAAAAGGAGTCCTCAAAAGTAGCCTTCCAAAAGGATGAGGAGGGGAAACTACAGGGTATTTTCCTTCTTGTTCCAATCACCGGAATTCCCTCCAGCAGCATACTCTGCCCAGCTGATTTCTGGCGACTTATTATCTAGGCAATTTTAACCATCTGGACTCCAAAAATCAAACACATTGAAGGAACATGCCACAAGTGTCAGCTAAGCTTCACAAGCGGTTTCCCAGACATCTCAGAGCTAGAGGGGTCGAAGGCACAGAGTTTCCCTGGGATCACATTTGCCGACTGCCATACCACCTATGCACCATTTGGCACCGATCTCCCTCACTCTTAAGGAAACAACACATGCTTAAAAACAACTGAGCAGTAGATGACCCAAAGCTAGTCCTCCCGTGTCCCTCGCAAACCCGGAGATGTAGGTGAATGGTGCATTTGAGAAGCAGCGTGAGACAAGGGCCGGGCTTGTCTGCCAAGG